CGACCGCGAGAGGGGCAGGGCGGGGGAAGCGGGCCGAGCTGGGGCTGGCTCTCTGTCGCCGGCCCTGCTGGCGTCGCCCCTGCCGGAGGCCGGGGACGAGGACGCGTCGAGGCAAGGCTCCTCCAGCAGGGGGCGCGCCTGCCTTGGTCGAGATCTGCCGGGCCTCAGCGAGGCGGACCCTTGGCCCCCGGGAGGACAAAAAGGAGCCGTGCACGGGTGCGGGGAAAAAACTGGGACTTGAGCGTCCCATCTCCCAGCGCGGGACTCTGTCTCCTGATTCCCAAGCTCACTCTGTCGTTAAAGGGAAGTTTCTGGAGTTCAAATCCGACCCCACCACTCACTAGCTGTAATGACTTTGGCCCGGTTACCTAACCTCTCTGTGCCTTCTTGCCCTCACCTAATGGGGATAACCTCACTGGGTCGCCAATGAAGATGGCATAAGATAATAATTGCTAGGAATTACCTAGGACAGTGCCTGGCACGTAAAAAACACGATGTAAATGTTCGCTCTTATCTTTATGTTGGGCCCTGCCCCCATCCCCCACCATGCCTCTCCTGGTATCTTTGACCTTCATGGACAGTTACATGGCTCCTTCCTGCCTGTGCACTTACAAATTTCTTTGCATCTCCCAGGCCCCTCAAACACTATGAACCTGGAATGAAATTTGTCAGACCCTCCTGCCTCAGACCTCCAAAGCCCCCTGAGAACTGCTGACTGGACAAGCAGGAAGGAGCTGTGCCCTGCCCTTCCATCTCCTGGAGGGTGGGGTCAGGGGGCATGTCTAGAGGCAGGGAGACCCAGGGACCTGCTAGGAGGCAACTGTAGTCATCCAGGTGACAGAAGAGGGCTTAGTTCTGTCCTGGAAGGAGGGAGTGGGCAGGAGACTGGGACCTCAGCCTGGCCTTGGGAGGCTCTGACACAGGCCCAGCTGGAGCAGGGCAGGGCCTGATTCCCTATTGAATGGTTTGGAATTTCAAGCTATTCTGAGAACATGGAGTCTCCAAACTTGAGCCGAAGTAACCTGGAGAGGAGAAGGCCAACAGCCCAGCCCAGGGCCCCAGCAACCGACGTGGCTGCTGCCTTGGGCCCTTCTGGAATCTGAGGTCTGTAAGGGGCTTTGGATTGTTTTTTTAAATTTTTTCCCCCCTCTTTTTTCTGTTTTTGTTTTTCTTTCTTTTTAGAAAATTTCATTTCAATCACAGCCCCAGCTCAGACGTTCAAATTCTTGTGGGTTTTTCTGTGGATCTTTCCTAGGACTGGGGAATTTGGCGGGAGAAACCACGGCAGTGTGGTGGCCTCCCCCGCCCTCCCCATATCCTCTGCTCCTGAGGAGCTGGAAGAAACCAGCCCCTGTGTATTCTGGAAGAAAATCCCCCTTCTCCACCCAGTTCCATGGAGCCAGTACACTAAGCAGGACTTTCCCCAACTCAGCAGCTCTGTCTATGGCACAGGGTGGGGCATGGAGGAACTGGCAGGGCTCAGGGAGAAAGCCATCATGAGAGGTCATGGAGACCATCCCCCTGCATGGGGGACCTGTTGGCACAGCCCTCAGCTCATGGAGATGGTTGCTGAAGACAAAGCAGCTGGCTGCAGCCTCCCCGCCCATAACACCCCAAATCATGGCGCTTCCCAGGCATTCTCCCCTGGAGAGGCTGGAGGCTGGGCTGGGAACAGAGAGGCTGCTAGACCTCTCAGGAAGGGGAGAGGAAGGGGACCAGTGGTAGAAGCTTCTGGAAACATGGACTCAAGCTCAATACAAGGAAGCGTTTCTCCCAGAAAGCACTGTCTAAACACCGGCGGGATGCCTGGAGAGGGAGGAAACTCTCTGTCTTGGGAAGTGTGAAAGCTCAGGGAAGTGGGTGGGGATACAGAGGGGTGAATTCCTACAGTGGGGGAGGGAGTGGGCAGATCTCAAGGGACATTCCCACCCAGAGACCCTGGATACTGTGAGGGGTCCTAGGTGGGTCAGGGGCCAAAAATGGGGCTGAAGGACCCACCAACATGGGGGAGGGCATGGGGAGAATGCTATGGGACCCTGGGCAGAAGTGGGCATTGCATGCAACCAGAGCCAACCTCCTGATCATGGGGGAAACTTGGCCATGGGTCCCAGCAGGGCCTTAGCCATGTGTTAGTGCTTGGAAAACAGGTTGAAAATTGAGAGCAGTTAACAGGCACTGGTCCCACTGTGCCAGGGACAGGCTGGTGGGCAATGGAGGCATGTGAGGCCCCTTGATTTGTGCAGTGGGTACGGAAATGTGTGGCCAAGCAGTGGGCTCACACGTCAGCCTCCCTGCCCTGGAGCAGCAGTAGGAGGGAGCCATGCAGGGTATCGGCACAAGAGAAAGTCCTCGAGAGCGTCTCGGCTGTGGTGTTTACTCAAGCTGCCCAAGCAGCTAGCCCCAGATGTAGCTGAAATCTTAGCCAGGGCCCTCCAGCAGACACAACTGGCCAAAGGAAGCTGAAGTCCAAGGGTCTTCGTCTCCGCAGAGGAGAAGGCAGGTTGGCTTCTGCTGCATCCCACAGGGATTGGGGTTAGACCTGAGGAAGAGCAGCCCCACCTGGAGGACCTGGGCCCTGGAATGCTGGAGCAAAGCCCCAGAAGGCCTTGCTCCGCAGGGAACCCAGAGCCTTTACGGGATGAGGCTCCTTATACCCTCACCCTCTCCAACCCCGAAGTTCCCCAGTAAGGGTGCTGAGCGCCAAATGCAGGTTCTTGAAGTAAAGGCAAGCAGGAGCGTGTGTGCATGTGAAGTAAGCGGCAGTCCCTGGCATTGCATTTGGGGAGAAATGGGGCAGCATAATGAGGTCAGGCTGAGGATGGTCTGACTCTGAGACTGTCCCAGGCAAGGCAAAGCCAGGGGGCTGCCTCCTCCTCCTCCCCCCCGCCCCTCCTCCTTGGACCTCTCTCCTCTGCTCCTGAGCTGCCATGCTGAGCTATTGCTCACCCATCCACCCAGGCGTCCTGGCACACAGGCTCAGTGCCCAGGTCTTGCAGCCAGCCCACACCATCTGTGCCAGCCGGGAGCCCACTCAAAAACCAACCCGTTTCATGCAGATGGAAGGAGGAGTGGAGAACGTGAAAGTGGGGGGGTCCTGGCCAATGAGACAAGAAAGATCCTCAAGGCTGCAGGGCCCCCAAACTTAAACGTGGGCAATGAAACCCAAAGGGTTCCCGGAACAAGAACAAAATTGACTTTCCCTCAAGTGGCTGTCTGGCCTGGCCAAGCACACCCATAAGTCCAGGGAACTCCAGCACTGCCACCATGCGCCTCACAAATGTGGGCTTGCCGTGAGTGTAGGACTGGGGGAGTCCAGCGCTATCTGGTCCTAGCTCTGGATGGATGAGACTGTCAACCTAGGAGCTGACTGAAGGCTGTCAGCTCTAGAATGTTCTCATCCTAGGCCTCTGTGTCCGCCTTGGGAGGCTACTAGCACTTGAGGATGGGGAGGCTGCCATGGGACCTTGGCCTCCTCTTCCTGTTGCTTCTAGTCCCCTATGCTGGGGTGAGGACTGTAGCAAGGCAAGGAAGTGGCAGCTCCCCACGGGAAGCACAAGGCAGTGCCATCCTCACACCAGGAGGCCCCTGC